AAAAATAAAAATTGTTTAATAAANATATATGTAGATGTAGAATTTTATCACCTACTTTCTCCTCTTATTAAATATTTGTTAAAAATTAATTTTTTTATACAAATAAATATTAATGTAAGTTAAATATTAAAAATACTAACTACGAGAGCAGTTTTTTCCAAGTTTCGATGGTCCATACAACAAAGACAAGTGTAAATAACAAAATGAATTTATTACCAAAAGTTAGGTACGAACATTGTTATTTTTCGACATAATCACCGTGAAGATGGAGACATTTGTCATATCTGTGGACGAGCTTTTCCATCCCCTTGTCATATAATGTTGCCACCAGTGATTTGAGATGACCTTAACAACGTTGTTTTGAAGATCGTCATTAATAATTAATTCATTAGTCTCAAACCACTGCCCTGCTAGCCATGTTTTCAGTTCAGGAAAGAGGTGGAAGTCTTCAACTCCTTTAAACACCCAGCGTATAGCCCTGATTTAGTGCCAAGCAACTTCCACCTCTTTCCTGAACAGGAAAAGTGGCTAGGAGAGCAGAGGTTTGAGACTAATGACAATCTTCAAAACAAAATTAGGGTCCATCTCGAGTCATTGACGGCAACATTCTATGACAAGGGGATGGAAAAGTTTGTCCACAGATATAACAAATTCCTCAATCTTCACAGTGATTATGTTGAAAAATAAATATGTCTGTACTTAACTTTTGGTAATAAATTCATTTTGTTATTTACACTTGTCTTTTTTTTTTATGGACTATCGGAGCTTGAAAAACAGCCTACGTATAAAAGAATTTGGGTAAATGCCCGGAGCTTCTTTTAGAGTTCAGAGTAGGATACTATGAGTGCCTCTGCCCCCATAAAATGACTTGGTATTTAATTTTGCCGAAGTCAGAAGTTGGAGTCGGCCTACTATAATTATCAGGAGTAGGAGTCGGAGTAAAGTGTTTTTTTACTGACTCCACAGCCCTAGTCAAGTAACGTTTCAGGCTTTAGTCACTCTTCGGTTGGCTGCATGAATGGCAACAAATCCATCACATTTATCAGAACTCATGTTTAAGAAAATATTCAAATCAGAAATGTAGTAAACACAATACAATTGTTATATAAAGCATAATATAAATATTGATTATTGGAAAGAAAACATGTATGGTGCCACCATTAAACTAGTTTTTTCAAAACATTCAAATGTTTTCTTAAACATGAGTTCTGATAAATACGATGGATTCTTTGCCATTCATGCAGCTGACCGAAGAGGAGCTAAGCCCCGAAACGTGTCTCGACAAATAAAGTTCTGAAATAAAAAGTTGATGATGAAAATCGCCAAGTGTTTATCAATTCACCCAGTCGTGACATTGAACCAAACAATAAAAAGAAGACTCGTTTCGACACACATAACAAGACTACTATAATTATACTATCAACTTTACTGAAGTGTAAAAATTCGAAATATAAGAAAAGGCCTACTAAGAAAATGTAAAAGAATTGAAAACCCAGAAAAAATTTATTAAATGGCTTTTTTTTTAATTTTAAATATTTTGAATAATAGTTGGCTATCTGGCCATTCCATTGTGAGTCTCGCCACAACCCCAAAAAAGTGAATCTTGTCATTGAAAAAAGTTCTCACACAAAAAAATAATTTTAAAAAATTTATTGAATTTTCTAATGCAATTATTAAGTTCAATATTTTAATTATGTTATAAAGAGATTTACAAAAAATCTATAAGTTTAAAATTATATCACAAAACTCTCAATTAAATTATTCATAATCTTGTAAGAAAATTTGCTTGTACTGGTTTGGAATACACTTAACATCTTACTCTACAATAGTTTGTTTTAATACATTGCTTCTGATATAATCTAATATGACACTGAAAATATTGTTGTTATTATTAAATATGAAATACATGAAATTAAAGGAACTGACAAACAGAAATATAAATTTCTATAAAATATCATGTGTTTCTTATATCTGTAATTTGTTAAATTACTGAGAATAAAAAAATATTATAAAAGAAATAAATAAACAACTAGGCTATCTGAATAAATAGTTACAGTAGAACCTCGATTATCCGGACTAATTGGGGATGAAGGTAGTCTGGATAAGAAAAAATTCGGATAATCGAAACAAATACTTTAATTTGTCTTTTAATGATAATACAACACGTTTACTTTTCAATGACATATCGGTAATATTAAAAGTAAATGCTGTATTTAAACCATGATCAAATTTTCAAGAAACAAACATTCATATTGAATTTGGACTACTACTGACTAACGCTGACAGACTACCTATTGTTTAAAAGGCCCTCTGGTAGTGCAAGAAGATGGATTTTATAAAATAAAAAGCAGTTAAAACTGTATTTTTATGAATAAAAATTTGACAAACTATTTATTGTTTTATGATGAGTAAAATTTTTTCGTTGCATTTGCGGCTTTTAAGTAATGCATAAACCTTCGAGGCACAAGGCCCTTCGGACCGCGAGGCATAGGCAGTGGCCCACGTCGTCCATACCCTACCTCGCCCTTGGTCATAAAAATGATGTAATTTGAATATAAATTATTTATAAATACGTATGTCAAGTTATATTTTTATTACGACATAAAATATATTTAAGAGTTTACGACCACTGTGCTGGGTGAAACATTGTTGAAACAAAAAAAGTTATGCATTCCATCACGTACATAAACAATGTTGTAATTTAATTATTATGCCTTTTTTGTCCTTTTTAACTATTTATAATTTATTTTGTATACTAGTACTTTCTATATATTAACAGGACTTATTATACTGGAATCCATATTATAACTATATATTCCAGTATTATAAGTCCTGTTAATATATAGAAAGTACTAGTATACAAAATAAATTATAAATGTTGTAATTTGCCAAGTGCAAATCAGCAAATTCGTAAAATTTTTGTTTATTTTGAACAATCCGGATAATCGAAAATCCGGATAATGGAGGTCCGGATAATGGAGGTTCTACTGTATATA